ACGAGTAATCATGTCAACAATCGGTTCATTTTCTTTGATAAAGAAATTTTCAAAATCTTTAACTAAGATATTTATCTTAGTTTCTTTCACTTTGCTAGTTCCAACACGGGTAACTTCCAAAGCATGCCTAATATCATAGGCGGATCACATGTACTAATACGATTAAATTCATTCCTATCTGAAGCATAATAAAGTATATTTTTTGCTCTATCATTTAAAGATAATTTCTATTTATCCACCTCACTATATTCTTCTCTAGGTTTAGGAATTATTTGATCCTGTTTACTATCATCTTTAATAACCTTTTTAGGCACATATGGACCAAATTCAATAACTTCCCAAATATTGTAATCTATTGATTGAATAAATATTGTCATTTGAGCCTTCCAATAGTTATAATTAGTATCATCGAAGAAATGAGGTCGATTTGTAGAGTGTCCATCAAGATTTTGAAAAATTAGGTTAGCCATTACTCAAGATTGTGGAATCTTTAAAGATGAGTATCAAACTCTGATACCAATTGAAAGCCTAAGAACGACTAACCAAGAGGGAGGGTGAATTGGTTATCTAAAAAATTTTCGAAAATAAATGCAAATTTAACGAAAAAACAAATAAGATAATAATCAAGTAAGATAACACGAAAATAACAAGAGGAAGAGAATAGAAGGCGCAAACGATATGTTATGGAGGTTCGATCCAATCAACGATCTATGTCCCCCGTTACCAAGCTCACCGTCACGAGCAAGGCCTTTTTCACTATTGTTGATTGACTTATGGTGCAATTTAACCCTTACAATATTTTCGATGACTTGCAACCAAGGAGCACCAATCCTTTTACAACATTGAACTTTACGGGACCTCAACACGACCTACACTATTGAGTTTTACGGGATCTCAATATGATTGACACGGTGACTTACAACAAACAGCACCGATCTTTTTACAACGTTGAAATTTTCGAGACTTCAACACGATCCACGATCCAACAAGAAAAATAATATTACAATTAAAAGTTTCTCTCTTAATAAATGATATGGTCACAATTAAGTATCAATAGAGAAGTAGGCTAACACTTCAATAAATAGTAACAAATGATAGCTCATGTGTTAGATGAAAAACTTTGATGGATATGATAATTAAAAATTAGATTTAACCAATCAAAGTATTTCAATGAGAAGATGAAGAAGAATTAAATGTAATGTGAATTCAAATATTCTTTTCAAGAAATAACTCCCTTTTAATGAATTATTATCATAAATCAAGTGCCAAGCGAGAAATAAGGAACTTTGATGATTTAACAAGTTTGATTCAACAATCAAAGTTTGTTAATATGAAGAAGTAGAGAAGTTTATGCAATATAAATGTAAAGACCTTCTTCAAGAATATCTCTTTGAAAATTGATATAAATAAATTAAATACAAAGAGATATGGAAAGCTTTCATGAAGGAAATGATTCAAGAAATTTGATTCAATAATCAAAGTTTTTGCTAAGAAAATATAAATGAAATGAAAATATAAATTAAACTCAAGATTTTCCACAAATATATCTCACTAGAAAACTCTCTTCATAGTTGTGAAGAATGAAAGTGAAGTGGTATCTATAGAAATCAAAACGGAAAAGTTTCTGTTCAACCGGACGTCCGGTCCGCTAGCAACCAGACAATCAAATTAGTCGTTGTGCAATGGTAACAAAAAATTGATTGTTGGTGAATCGGACGTCCGCCTGGTTAATCGGATGTCTGATTGACTATTGATAGTTGACTTTTTCTTAAATTGTGATCCAAGTTCAAGTATGACTTTGAAGAAAATCAACCTTACTTTTGATTAAAATATTTTATGCAAGTGACAGTGAAAAATAACTTTTCGTGCACAAAATAATTTTTGAGTCATTGTCATTCGTTACTAAAGATCAAAGTGTTATACCTCTACATATGATCTAGAAAGTCTAGTATTTGATCTTGCTTCGAAGTTTCTTCCATATTTGGCTCTTGAATTTTTTATCTTTGTCATTCTTATTATTGGTCTTCAATGCTTAACTTTGATCTTGACTTTTCTTGGCGTTTATCTTTTAAGCTCTCGTTTCGAATCATTTGACTTGAACACATGAGTAACTTCCAATTTGATCTTCATTTCGAGTTTGATATATAATGCTTGATAGATTTTAATATTGAACTATCATCATTCAAATAAATTGTTAGAAACAATATTAATATTGTTTGTTATGATCAAAATATTGAGGATGAAGTCAACCATAGGTCAACACAATTGACCCATAATATTCTCAAATTTTCATCGTAAGGTCCAACACAACTTTTATATCAAACCTTGGACCTAGCCATTTTCTTCTCCTTTTGCATTAATTAACACCTCACCAAACCTATAAAACAACACTAATAAAACACATTAAAAAGTTTCATACACATAAGATCTAGCCACTAATCAAGTTAAAATAATATAAAACTTGAGAGCAAAACATACTCATCAAGCATCGTTGGCAAAATTGTCTCTATGCTTTCTTCCCTTTTTTTGGAAGCTAACCGAAAAACTCAACAAAATCGTATTCAATTCACCAGTTTCTGGTTGAAACGATCAATTTATCGGATTTTAATAATTTCTATATTTTAGGTTATAAGGCTACAATGAAGTAGTTCATGATTTTTGTGAACGAACAAGTCAAACCAGTTCGATTTTCAAAATATTGAATAATACAACAATGAGCAATATTATCTATGTCTCGACAATTTAGATGGCGTTAATTAATATGCATTATTTTAAAATAAACTAATGCTACATTCACTGCCATTTGTAAGCATTACTTACTAATACCATTATTCTTCTAAATAGAATTCATGTCCACACAATTAAGATGACCAGTCAGAGTTAAACGTACATTACACATTATTCTTAAATACTTTATAAGTACTTTAAAAATAATATTTGATAATAATTTGTTGGAAGTATTTGATAAATGTCAAACAAATTAAAGAAAATAAAATTTAGGATAGGAACTAAGATAAGAAAATGTATTCTCAAAACTCAATTTCTATTATTCAAATTTTTATGATGATGAAATATTATAAATGAGCAACCCATGTATACTACATTTGGTACATAAGAATTAATTGCTAATACATGAATTTAAACATCCATTAAAGTTCCTAAATACATGAATAAAAAGAAATCTATCTATAATAACTATAGAATCATGTAGATTAAGATTCATTGACTCTAGATTAATATGAATATTAATTAATTAAGAATTAACAACACGAAATTCATATATGACTAGAATTTTATAGTATTTATTACATATTGAAAAACGAAAAGTAACGTATTATTGAAACAATTAATTGTAGTGGGATTAAAATCGTCCAAAAATGATTATCACTTGATGTGATATTTAATGTATTATAGATATATTAATTAACATTACTCGATCATCATCTAGACTATTTGTGGTTAACATTATTCTAGATCAAAAGTAAAAGTATGTTAAACAAGAGACTAAGTACAAGTGGCTAAAACCTTTGGTTCCCCCATTGTCATGCAATTTGTAAATTGATATATCATAATTTTATATAGACCAAAAATTATATGCGCCTTTTGAATTATTATAGTATTGTTATGGATAATGCAACATCTTTGAGTCGCATCATCTTTCGCTAGTGCTATTACCTTTGACTCAATTCACACATCTTATTCCACTTTAACTCTAATCAACAATTATTCATCATAGTGGATGCCTATCTAACATATGGTGATAACACAATATGAGGACACATGTGAGTTGTCCATTCCATGAAATTCGATATGCGAGAAAATAATAACGATTTCAAGTTTTGAAATATCTTTAAATTTAATATTTCAATTGTGCAAGAGTTGTGTGCTCTTTCACATTCAAAGATACTCAAGTTTTTTTAATGAATTCAAGATTCTTATTTAAAATTCGATAAATTATGATATTCATAAGTTCAAGAATTCAAATTATAGATGCATCTTTACTAGTTAGTCGACCGTGATATCTATCATATTTTGTTCCTAAATAATATTTTGTTTTCTTTTTGTTATTTTCAGTGAAGTGCAATGTTAATATAATCATTAACATTTATAGTAAATTGCACCACTATCTTTGTTGGGTATACTATTACGATCATTATAACGAATAATCTATGAAATAATGCACGAGAACAACATGCATGAAAGTTATATATCATTGGACTATTAAATTAATCAAGAAATGGAACACATTATTACAACACTAAATAATAGAGAATGAATATTATACAAGAATCAATTATTTATTTTATTGTAACAAATTTGTGCAGATTTCATATTATTCTATGACAAGAATATTACGCCGTACTCCAATATAGTTGGTCTGTGTTCTTGCATAATATGCAAGTGGTAGATTAATATATATATGTGAATATATTTTATTCCACTCGAAAAAAAGGAAAAGAAAAAAAAAGAATTGTTGTGATATGTTTCATATATTGAATTGGATGGAACATAATTATAAATAAGGAAATTCTCACTCAGTCCTCAAACATTAAACTTGTTGCACTTAGATCCCCATTCATTTTTTTGGTAGCATTTAGGTCATCAAATTGCCATTTTTAGAGCACATAAGGACAAATTGACAAAAAATCGTCCAATATTTCATCAAATAGTCACTTGAAAGACTGAGGAACTTAGTTTATGGGTAAATAAAAATTCCCCTGGAATAATGGGTCAATGCCTCTCAAGTGACTATTTGACGGAAAGTTTAATGATTTCCATCCACGTGTCATTATGTGCAGTTTGGGACCCTAAATACGATAATAAATAAATAAAAATAAAAATGAATGGGGACCCATGTGAGACAAGTGGTAATCTTTGGGGACTATGGGGTATGAATATCTCTTAAAATTTAGAAGAAAATGAGATGCATGTATATTATTTTATTTGCTTCTAACACAAGTTTCCCCATGTTGACATGATAAATGATAATTATTTATCTGATAAAAGATGTTGTCGTCCTGAAACAGGGAATATCATCATGGAAAGAAGAAGCTCCTTTGGCTCATTGATTGCTTCCAAGCATCTTAAAATTACAACTAGACAGAGAACAAAGCATGAGAGCATTTATTTTTGTTTTAGTAGTGGGATTCTCATTCACCACACCACACCACCAACTCAATTTCATGTACACTACCCCTATTGCCATTGGACCCAAAATTCACCTTTCCAGTTCCAATTCCCAATCCCTTTTTTTTTCTTGGGAAAAGTTTCTTTTTTGGGTCTGAATGCTTTGTGGGTCCCCAACACTAAGCCAGCAGCATTTCCAGATTATCATGATGATGCTGATTATTATCTAAATGTCGTATTTCTTGATGATTCATTCTGAACTACTTCAACAGACTGGCTAGACAAGGTCAACTTTAACTCTACCTACTACGTGTTTGATGATATGCGTATGTGAAAATATGCATGTCTGCTTCTACATAATGTTATGGAGACCTGTAATTGTCCTTGTTTGCTAATTGGATAGTTAGAGCTTATAGTTTCCTTTGGTTTTATAGTTATTTGAATGTAGTATATATATATATATTTTAGACTTGCTGCTAAGTTTTCTGCTTATTTGATTAGTGGAAACAGCATCTCCTCCCTGTTCTTGTTCATTTGAAAATGTTTACAACATCTAAATTCTTTTGTAAATATAAATAAATTAAACTCCGTTATTTGGGTAAGCTACCTGCAAAAAAGCCAAATTAACAATTAACTTCCAAGAAGTGAGAAGTGGGATCGTTTAGCATCAATCTGTCAATGCACGGTGCATCCTTTCACCCATTTCCCAAGATATCTTGAGATGTGAATCAATCTAAGTACGTAAGAGATCCAATAAAAAAAAAAAAAAATTATACTCCTTGGTGCCTAAAATTGTTTATCTTTGACAAGATTTCACACGAAGCTGCTATACCCTGGTGCGACTTAATTGATGCTTGTTTGTTTTCTCTGCCATATGCAACCCATGAGACATATGTAGATAGTCATTTTTATGGATTGAAGTTTTTTCTGTTTAGAATCAACTAAAGGAGGTGAAGGATTACTGGGAGCGTCTTGCTTGAACATTAGAGGAGATCACATGGCTGAAACCTTTTCCATTACTCATCTTTATCTAATGCTATCAGTTTATTTTCTTGTGCTCCTATCCTTGTCCAGCAGCTGCTTTGGCTCCAATATGCCCGATGTTGAAGGTATACAGCTTGTAGACTTGCCTAGACTAGCTTTTTCACTGTTTTTTGGTGAAGTGTACAATATGGCTTAAGATGTTTCTCAAATTTATGTGAAGATAAATGATATTAGAGCTATGGGGATTCTTTGGTTTGCTATGGGGTTTGGTGTAAAACAAGTAGACTAGGCTATGCATAGACGGATGCCTTATGATAAGATCTATCGACCAATACAAATTTTATATTTATATGCAAAGCTTAAAAAAGAAAAAAGCAGGTAATGGATCTGGTTCTCATGTTCGCCTTTGAGCCCTGAGAACTCAACAGTTTTCAATTTAAAAGACAGGCAGTTAAACTTTTATCACTAAACCCTATTTCTTTTGGTTCTAGGAATTTTTTCACACTCCTATGCCATTAGCCAATTACAAGTTTTTTGTTTTGAATCAAGTTATGAAAGAATAATGGTTTCAGCAGTTTTTGGTCAATGATCCATACTTAGTAGAAATGATCATTTTATGGTCATTATTTTCCAAATGTCAACTGCAGAGTATATAAATGTGCTGTTAGCTGCAAGAGAAAAGCTGTGCACTTAGTGTTTTTTTTTTTTTGGTATCATCTACATCCGAAATTCAAATTAGAGTATGCATGGTGTACTGAGATGTAAAATGGGGTTGTCTCCATGTTTAATAGAAAGACTGTTCATATTTATGGAATCCTATTGCTACTTTGAACATACTTGTTTCAGAACAATGCTACACTAAAATTCAAAATATTAGTAGGCGAAGCAATATACAAGTAAATTACTAAGTATCTATGCACAAAAGTTAATCAAAATATAGAAAAATTGAAAATCTTTACTAGAAAGACACACACAGTATCAATTGTCTATGGTTGTTTTATCATTCTGATGAATGAGCTTTTTCCTTTTCCTTTGACGTTTCAGGTGAAGCTTTAATAGAATTTCGAACAGCTCTGAATGATTCCAATCGTAAAACTGCAGATTGGAACTATAATTTTGTCAGCCCCTGTTTCAGTTGGTCTCATGTTACATGTAGAAATGGAAACGTGATATCCTTGTTAGTATTAAATTCTCTTCCTCATTCAAATAAATGGTTTGACTCTTTCTGTTTCCTCTATTCCATCATGAAAGACTGGAACTGAACTTAGTCACATCTATCGGCCCAGCCAGCTTTACAATTTACTGGTATCTTGTTTGTTAATGCATCAACTTGCAGGAGCCTGGCTTCTAGTGGATTTTCAGGAACTCTTTCACCAGCAATAACAAAATTAAAATATCTGGTTAGCCTGTAAGTATCGTTGTTTTTCTTCTCCTTTTCGTGAATGGTCCCCCTTGTGCTCTTCTTTAAATCATTAGCAAATCTTTTGTTTTCACTCTTTTCTCTTCTAGAAAGGGAGGGAGGAGGAGTTTCGAGAATCCTCAACTTGCATGTCAGCATGTTGATTGAGATCTGTCTTTTTAAAATATGCATCACCAAAAATTCTATTATTTGGATCTCTATTCATGTCTGCCTTCGACATGTATCAAGGCTTAAAGAATCTATCTCTTATGAAAAGCATTACCATGAAGATATACTTGAGCAACAGTTTCTTAAATTTCTCACCTTCTGTACATTCTTCAACCTTGTGTTTAATTAGCTCACCTAGCATCTTACCATAATATAGCCAAAATGTGGATGTGACATGTAATTGCAGCCATACTAGAATGGGCCAAAAAAAAAAATGAGGAAAATGATAACAGTTGAGGGTGACAGCAATTCCAGATAAATCTTGCATAGACATGAAGAAGTTCCGTTTCACAAAAGTGATGCAATCGCAATAGGCATGTTGGATTAGGAAGAGAGAGACTAAAATTAATATGGGATGATCGCAGAAGATTTGATTTTATTGGACTTTTCAATGGATACAGCGCTGAATTGAGTGGAGTGGTCAAAATGATTTGTGCAGCCAACTCAAAGTGTATAGAGAACTAAGCTTTACTTGTGATATAGCAGATTAAGAAACCGCAAGGATAACTTTGACCAGTCAAGATCTATTATGGGATGCTGTGTGCCTATTATTCATTTTGAGAAATACCTTAGGTGCTCTCAATCTTTGCAGGGATCTACATGATAATAATCTTTCTGGTCCATTGCCCGATTTTCTTGGAAGCATGTTAAATATTCAGAATTTAAATCTGGCATACAATAACTTCAATGGCTCTATTCCAGCCGATTGGGGTCAACTTTACAACCTGAAACATTTGTAAGTCTATGCAGGCATGCATTAGAAATTTAGTACTTTTAATTTACAAGGTGTTAACTTATTTCTTTTACATGCGTACGTAAATTTAGGATGCGTACGTAAATTTAGGGCTATATCTTGTTAGAAGTCTTATTATCATGCAAGCATATGCACCGAAGTGACAAATTTTGGAACTCTGCATCAATTAGGGTGATGAGTGGTAATCACTTAAGTGGACCTATCCCAGAATCGCTTCTAAACATCTCGGGCTTGTTGGAACTGTAAGAAGTCTCTATGCATTTCTTCACCCTGTCTTAGTGATTGTTCTTTGAGGGCCACTCTATCTTCCCCTATGTTTATACTACTAGTGGAATTTTCTACTTGCAGGAATCTTTCGTCCAACAATTTGTCAGGAAGAATACCTACAGAATTGTTTTCAATTCCCAGCTTTGAGTAAGTTTTTTCTTATTTAAAGTTCTTCAAATCTTTAATGTTATTGTAGAACCAGAATTTTGGGAACAGTAACACTTAGTTAGGTCCTAACAACTGCATGCTAAGGTTGTACAGGTGTCATGAAAATTTTCCAGCTTTCTTGCATTTTTGTTAAATTTTAGTATCAATTAAGTCTAAGGAAGCTATAATGATGCTTCTTGCTCAAAAGGAATCCATGCTCCTTTCATTTAAGTTTCTGTCAAAAATGTGAAATGTTAGGTGTGTTGTGATTCTGTGGTCATCGTGGGCCCATAGTTTTGTTATGTTGGTCAATTTGGAAATTATCATGAATAATTTGCAAGTGTGGTTATGGAATGTTTCAAAGTTACTGGAACATTTACATGGCATGCATTAGATTATCGATTTCTTTTTGACATATGACTTGATTTTGGTATGCTATGAACATTAACTTGAAGTATGAACTGGAAGTAAGATTGTAATCTTAGAGGAAAGAATTCTAGAAAGAGCTCCTGGGATGAATTTTTGGGGGACCTTGTCCATGATAACATACAGTAGAAACAGTGAGGATTAGAATAGAATCTAGATGGTATTCTAGATGGTAAGTTAATTTGTTGTCTGCGTCAATCTGAGCACTATTAAGACCTAAAGTTATTATATTATTTTTGGTGCCTCCACTTGTTCATTTCTGTCTTATGCATCACATATCAGCTTCACAGGGACGCATCTTACATGTGGAAACAATTTCCAGCACCCTTGTGTTCCAAATCCCTCCACCCGAGGTTTTGTTTATTTTTGCAGTGGAATTCTCAGTTTTATTTGAATATTATTCTTCTTGTGGAGAAAATGGCAGAAACTGATTCCAGATATCATTGCAGTTTCTACTAAAAATGCAAAATTTGAAGTTGCCATTATTGTAGCAAGCATATGTGCATTTGCTCTCCTGTTACTTGGGGCTGTCTTTGCCCACAGATTCCATCGGATGCATAAACTGAAGCCTGATGTATTTTTCGATGTGGCAGGTAAATTTTTCTTCTAATTTTTGTATGATATTGATACGATTTTATCCTTTTTGAGCACACAACATATGAAAAGACTGCCCTGAGAGCCAGAGGTATTGGCTTTCTACATGTTTGTCAGAGTCAAAGTTAATCAAGGGTTGAAATTATTTCAAGTATTTCCTACCCTTCCTAATCCATTTAAAGGGAATATTGGAACTTCATCTTCTGACGCACAGGAATCAAAGACTCAAGTAAACAAAGAAACCAGTCTAATGGTGGTTCGATTCTTTAATTGGAGTGTGCATTTATATTTGCATGTTCCAAAATTTTCCATCCTTCTCACTACTGGGAATTATCTGACCCCCTTTTAGTTGATGATTGTTATAGATATCTGCATCCTCTTTTCTGAACTCTGTAGTACAATTAGAGAGATTATTCTGAACTCCACTTTGATTGATGTATGGCTCATATTTTCACTTAGGTGAAGATGAGAGCAAAATTTCCTTTGGACAAGTCAGAAGGTTTTCCTTGCGGGAAATACAGCTAGCAACAGAGAATTTCAGTGAAAGCAACATTATTGGACAAGGGGGCTTTGGAAAAGTATATAAGGGTATCCTTTCAGACAACACGAGAGTTGCTGTGAAACGCCTAATGGATTATCGTATTCCTGGTGGAGAGGCTGCATTTTCAAGGGAGGTTCAATTGATAAGTGTTGCAGTTCACAAAAACTTGCTTCGGCTAATTGGGTTTTGTACAACCTCGACAGAGAGAATTCTTGTTTACCCATTTATGCAGAACCTCAGTGTTGCATATCGCTTAAGAGGTACTCTCATGACGTTTAACTTGAGTTGCCTTCTTTTTCGTCAATGGTCTGTCTTTAGGATGAGATAGTTTACTATCTGCAGACTCTTTAAAATGGGAAAGAATGAATATGAAAATAAATTTTTTAGCCCCCACTCCACCAAGTAGATGCAAATTCCATGGAACCACCTTTCCTTGCAGGAGATGTTAATAGTAACATGCTCTGCATCATTCCATCACCTTTAGTTTGCAAGATGAAGAGAATAATACTCACTATACTCTCAAGAAACTTCGTGGTGAAGGGGAAATGATTTTGCATATTTCGGATTTCTTGGTCACTTTTATTTTTTTCTTATACATGTCATAAATGTGAGTTAAGCACTTCACTGAAAAATCAAAATCCTTTGAGTATGACAGATTTAAAACCCGGAGAGAAAGGCCTGGACTGGCCAACAAGAAAGCGGATAGCTTTTGGTGCAGCCCATGGCCTAGAGTACCTTCATGAGCATTGCAACCCTAAGATTATTCACCGTGATTTGAAGGCTGCAAACATCCTTCTAGATGATGATTTTGAAGCTGTCCTAGGAGATTTTGGATTAGCAAAACTAGTCGACACAAACCTCACACACATTACCACTCAAGTACGTGGAACAATGGGACACATTGCCCCTGAGTATTTGTCTACAGGAAAATCTTCTGAAAAGACGGATGTGTTTGGATATGGTATTACTCTGCTAGAACTAGTAACTGGTCAGCGTGCATTAGATTTCTCCCGGCTTGATGAGGAGGAGGAGGTTCTACTGCTGGATCATGTAAGTTCTGTTTCACTATTTTTTGGAACTAAATTTTGCAAAATCATACTTTATTTGTTACTTCGTGTATTTGTGCTGGTTCAAAAGTTGTATATCTATTTCAAGGAATGGTCCATTTTGGAAAGAACTGAATTTAAGACTGTCGCGAAAAGTTACACCTGCATCCATATGTTTGTAGAGTTTTGGCCAAAAGATTTCTAGTCTGAAGGTTCTCGTTGGAACATAAGAGTTACATCCATATCCACAATATATGATAAATGGGTGGCAATGTGACTTGAATTCTAGACTTTTGAATGCTTTGATATGATGTTGAACAACCTTTTGTAAAAGCTTAATCTATTACAGAGAAGTCAATTTATTTATTAAAATTGTCTTCAACACTTGTATCCTCTCTTTTGTTTGTGCATTTGGATATTCTTATTCTGCTTGCTCTATTCTTCCTAGTCAGGATATTTACTCAAATACTAAGCGGCTTTCTGTAACCGTTTTGATGTGATTCTAGATCAAAAAATTACTAAGAGAGGAAAAGCACCAGGACATTGTTGACGGGAACTTGAACAGTTATGATCTCGAAGAAGTCAAGACAATTCTCCAAGTTGCAATGCTTTGTACCCAGAGTTCACCAGAAGATCGTCCTAGAATGGCAGATGTTTTGAGCATGTTGCAGGGAGTCGGTTTGGCCGAGAGATGGGCAGAGTGGGAACAACTTGAAAAAGTAAGATATCAAGAATTTTCCCTATTGTCCCACCAGTTCATTTGGGCTGAAGATTCTACTTATGGCCAAGAAGCTATACAATTGTCACAAGCTAGATAGAAGTTTTTTCACCATGATAGCCGGGTGTTTTATATTTTACTTGTTTTTATATATACCTTTTACGATTTAGTTCAAAGTATTAGCTTTGGACATAGTTAATATATACTACGAGTACCTGTCCATATCCGTTATCAAGAATTTTCAGGCTTACCCATTATTGCCTTATCTTTTATAACAAATGAATTAAACAGTGTTCTTTTTATGTTTGACAGTTGAAGGCTTATTATGTCATTATTGATAGTAAAGTAAATTTAACTTGTAACTTCGGATAGTGTTAAATATTTATCTCCTCTCTAATATATAAAACTTATTAGAGGAACATGTTTTGAATTTCGTATTTCTTATGAAAGTACACAATAAATTCTTATATATAAACTATTTAAAATTAATTTTTAAGTAAAATTAGACCCGACCATTAGTTAATATTATCATTTACTCTCGAATTTGTTATTTGTCTAATTTTTTTGAAACGAAACCTATCAAACATGCTCATATTCTCGTTAAGATAAGTTTAAGTATTTGTTTGTATTTTATTATAAGACCATGTTTGGCTAATGATAATAAATTGTTTATAATCGATTGAGCAATTTTTTATTCACACATTTCATGAAATTCACTAGTATTTCCAATTCCCCGATTATTCATTTTTATCTATTAATAGTTTAAATCGTAATTATTTCTCAAACATGCATAAATTACTAAGGACTTGTTCGGTAGTGATTATGAGAATTGATTTTTTGATCGTTAGAGAGAAAAGTAGGTCTCATCTGTGAGAGAATAAGTCAAAATGATGATTGACTTAAAGAAGTAACGATTAAAAAATTGATTTTTTTGGATGAAAAATCAGAGGGAAAAATTCATGTCATGTGTATTGTTTGCACCAATTCACAAATCAGGTACAAAGTTTAAAAATTGAAAATTCAGATTTTTGTATAATTAATTGAAAATATTATTAATTAAATATAATAAAATCACATTTACACGATTAATGATCACAGATTCAAAATTATTGATCACAGATTTATTTATTGGTCATATACAATCGAATTAATTAGTTACAGATTATTTCGAAGTCACAAATAAAAAAAATTTGTAGGTCACAGATCAAAAATTTATAAGTCACAAATTATTTCATTGATCACATATCCAAAAAAATTACAAATCACAAGGTCACATATGTTCAAATTTATTGGTCACATATTCTAAATAGTTGGTCACATGCACCAAATACCCCCACCACCGATCCCAATCCAGCACCAATCTTGGTCACAAATCACCACCGCACAATTATTGCTTGCACCACACCATCGAATTTCAAGGTCACAAATTAATAATTAGTCACAGGGACCAGATAGTTGGTCATAGACACTAAACACCATATCTCGATCCACCACAATATTTGGTCACAAATAATCGAATAGTTGGTCACATACACCAAATAGCTCGTCACATACCACTACCACCACTACCACTTAAGATGACCACCACCATCACGGCCTATTGCCACCATTACCAACACAATCTAGCTCGTCACATACCACTACCACCACAGCCACTTAAGACGACCACAACCATCAGAGCCTATTGCCACCGTTACCAACACAATCCAACCTCCAACAACACAGACACGGCCTCAACAACCACGATAATCACCGGCCATTTCATTTATTTTACTTTTGACGGTGAATTGGGTGCAACAGTAACCCCACCTTACCACCACCATCATCGTCCCCAACAAACTTCCATTTTCAACTCACCACCACAACCACAAGCAGATCATCATTTTCAACTACAAACACTACTATCACAGTCAACCAACCACTACTAGATCCACCGCCAGATTCAACAAAAACCACCCCAACTGTCAGATCCAACTCCACCGTTGCCACAAAAAAAATACAGCCACCACTAGATCTAACAAAACCACTGCCACCGCCTTAGATTCAAAAAAAAAAACTCCAAATTCATTGGCGACACTACCACCACCACTTCAAATCACAACCCACAAACTACATAAAAACCATAAACTTCATCGACTCTCAACCACAAACATTGAAAAAATGGCTTTTAGGAGTGTAGGTAGTTCACCACTCACCGCTAGAATAAGATCGCCGTTGTGCCCATTGGTCGAGGTGGAGCGACGATTTGGTACTGTGCACGACGGCACTCAGTTCACTGCCAACCTCCATTGAAGAGAAAAATGGGTAAAAAATGTATCGTCGCTATAGTCGTCGAGAAGTACAACGCCGTAGCAGCTTACGACGACTGGAGTGCAGATTCGAGCACAATGCTGCCACTCAAGGATCTCGTTGAGGAGAGGGGGAGTGAGATAGGAGATTCATTTAGCTTTAGGGAGAGGGAGAGTGAGAGATCTGACGAGAAAAAGGAAGAGTGAAAGAAAGAATGGATTAGATTTAGGGTTTGAAATTGGGTGGGTGATTATTTTGGTGGTTGTTGAATTTGTAATATAATTATTAATATTAAATTATTAAATTGGCACATGATGTTTGATTAAAAATACTTTATATGTGATTTTTGAAGTGAGATCTTTAAATACCTATTCTAGTGTAATTTTTCCAAAATCAGAACCAAACATTTACATAGAATTTGGAAGAGTCAGACCCCAAAAGCTAGCCATTGAAGTTGGAGAACTCAAGCCTATATAAAATCATACAAAGAAAGTCCATACTTTCGATATGAGATTCAAGTGCCCATACATCTCAATGGGAACCATGACAAACCATCACGCTTCCGACTCGGCGTCCATGTCGAGCAAGTGCCCATACACCCTAATTGGCAACCGAGACCAGAAGACATGGTGCCTGCTCTGATATCATTATCATAGAACTTGGAAGATCAGACCCAAAACCTGGGCTATAAAAACTATACAAAGGAAGCCCATACTTCCTATATGAGATTCAAGTGTCCATATACCCTAATGGAAACTATGACAAACATGCACTAAAACTAAAAATGGATAGATATGAGTAATTGGTAAGTGAAACTGTGTGATTAAAGTGAAAGTTTTGACCTTAATATTTAAATTATAAGGGCAAACAACTACTAAGTTGGAGACTTTTAACTATTACTATTAGAAAGAAAAAAGAAAAACTACATTGTCAACGGTTTCATCACGTGATTCTCACGTGATCCAAAAGATTCCAAACCACATCTCACCCTGCCAAAACTGGCGGGAATATCGCTCACATTTCCCTCCCAAAACCCACCACCACCACAGGTCCACAACCCGTGGGCACCAACTACAACACCCGGAAATGCCCAGCGCCGATGACACTGTCACCCCAGCAGAACCAGCGCAAATCCATGGAAGAAGAGAAGTTCGATGAAGACGTGTTACTCGAGAAAACCCTCTTCAGTACGAGGAGGAGGACTCACAGCTTCACACCCTCTTTGAGCATCTGGGGAAGTGGAAACGTCTTGCTCTCTCTCCATCATACATCAGTTAGTCTTAGAACATTAGTACGTAATAAAATAAAACTCAGAACACTTCAATTTCACTGCTGCAATGTAATATGCGCTCCGATTTTTGTTCATTCCTCACGAGGGGAATTGGGGGAGATATATGACTTCTAGGGTTTTAAAATTCAATAGTGCTACTGTGACAGACTTCTAAAGAGGGTAAAATACATAATTTTGAAAATTCAGACGTGGCATGCTGACTTGCATACCTTTTCATTTAACAATCAATTTTTTTATCAATAATGGTACTGCTGCTTGGAGGGAAGTAAAAATGAGCGGGAAAAAATTAGACAACAACTATTGTACAACAAAAGGGGCTTCTTCTCTCTCCACTTTTGCAATCGGCCGAAAACCATTTCCAAAATTCAATGATCTAACCCACCATCTGAGATGGTACCGACTTCAGTGCAAGCCAAGATTTGTTAGGCAACGTTAGGCGACGAAAAATAAGACAACATCGGCTTCGATGGCGAGTGAATTTAGGTGGGTAAATTTCACCTTGTTTTTCGTAATTAATTGCACATTTTTGCTTAAATTTATGGAAAATTGCAATTAATTGGAATGTTTGTAATTAATGCACTAATTAAGATCTCCTTTTAGTCTTCACCAGCTCACGCATTTTGTAAAGTAATTAATTACAGTAAAGATTGTTAACTTCAAACTTTGTAATTTTGTATTGACAAATATACACCTTGTTCGACTCCCATAACAAAAGAAAACCTCATGTACAGAGCAACAATCTTGATTGTAGTGAACTCCACTGGACGAGCTCAAAAGACCAATAACTCTTAATTTGTGAGTATATAAAATGAACAGGCAACAAGGAGTGCACTTGTGTATCTGGGAGAGAGAGAAATAAACGGGGCAGAAAGAAAGTGGTTACTATGATGAGAATTTCATTGTGTAAAGCAAGGGAATGTGTGCTTTACCAAAAGTTGTTGTCTGTTACTGATTATTTTAATAAATGGAAAATGTTGGATTGAACTTTGAGATAGGAACAGTAAGGAAATTGAATAGTTTTTGTTGGGTTATTTATAATACTATTAACAGACTACATTTGTTGAATCTCGAAATTTGAATGGTCAATCAAGTATACTGGGAGCACAACAAGGGAGTAGTACAATGGGTGTTCGCATAATATTTTTTGTAATTGAAGTCACTGTTAGCAATTCATTCATTGTTATGATTTTCTCACCAAATTTTACCATGGTGCATGAACTTCTAGTTTGTAATGTTTACTTTATTTACAAAAACAAAAAATAAAATAATTAAGATTTACGGAGAATTATTTAGGTTACAACAAATGATACTAAACGTGAAATTGTTTTTATCGTAGCTAACAAAGTATGAACGATTTGCAAAATCAACATGATGATGTTTTGGTTGAAGATGATAATGAAATTGTTACCGAGTTCGCGAACTTAGTGGAAGGCGAAACATCAGTGGAAGATGATGTAAATGCGCCTGAGGTGGGTATGATATTTAAAGATGAAAAGGATATGTGTGACTTCTACAGAAAGTATGCTTATGCCATTTGTTTTCCGGTTAAGAAACGAAATTTGAAAAAGGGGAATGATGGAGTTTTGAGATATGTAACGTTGACATGCAGTCATGAAGGTTGAAGACCCAATAATAGTGGCAGTTTAGTGAAGCCACAACCGACAGTGCAGATGGGTTGTAAAGCTAGGATATCACATCTTGTGATATTATTGGAAACTAGAGAATTAATGCGGTCCATCTCGAGCACAATCATGAAACAGTTCCATCGAAGTTCAGGTTGTTCCGATGCAATCGATACTTGAGTGCAAATGTGAAACGGAAGCTTCAAGTGAATGATTTGGCAGGAATTCCATTGCATAAAAGTTATAATTCTGCAGTTGTAGAAGCAGGAGGATATGAGAACATGACTTGCATTGAGAAAGACCGTCAGAACTATGTAGAACAAGTGAGGCGATTAAGACTTGGAGAGGGAGATGATGTGGCAATACAATCATATTTTTCAAAAATGCAATCACAGTGTTCAGGATTTTTCTTTAGTATAGATTTGGATATCGAGTCGCGACTTAGAAATGTGTTCTGGGCAGATAACCGATGTAGGCAGACATACAGAGAGTTCGACGATGTGGTCACTTTTTGATACCACTTATCTCACCAATAAGTATGACATGCCATTCGCCCCTTTTGTTGGCGTCAATCACCATGGACAGTCAACTCTGTTTGGTTGTGGTCTCTTATCAAATGAAGGCACAAATACTTTTGTATGGCTGTTCAGGACGTGGCTTTAGTGTATGCATGGCATAGCTCCACATGAAATAATTACTGATTAAGATAGGGTCATGCAAAATACAATTCAGATTGTGTTTCCAAATATGAAGCACAGATGGTGTTTGTGGCATATTTTGAAGAAGTTTCCAGAAAATTTTGGACATCACATAGATAAGGCTTCCATATTTGTGGCTATACGTGGATTGGTATACGATTCGCAGTCCAGAAAAGAATTTGAAGATGGGTGGATTGCAATGATTGATACGTATTGTAGGTTGAGAGACTTGAAAAGAGATGAGAAAAACTGTCTTTTTTCTCTTATATTACATTACAGTCGAGTGCCCTCTTTTACAGTACTCAAGAGGGGCTAAAATAAGGAAATAAAAAATATTCTCAAATTCTACCTAATCTCCAAGAATCATGCCTAATTACAATAATTACAATTTTCCCTAAATAAAATAGTTAACTATAGCAACTAAGATATTATCATATTTTTTTGGGATTTCAATACTCCCCCTTAAGTTGAATCGTAAATGTTGATCATATCCAACTTGTGAATGAAATCATCAAATTTTTGTCGAGATAGACCCTTGGTGAAGATGTCTGCAGTTTGTTCCTGTGTGGGAACATATGTCATACAGATAGTTCCTTCATCTACCTTTTCTTTGATAAAGTGTATGACTATCTCTACATGTTTAGTTCGATCGGGTTGAGAGAAATGTTGATCGCAGCTTTGTTATCACAATACAGTTTAACTGGAGCCGTTAATGTAACGTGCAACTCTTTCAGAAGTTTCTTTAACCACAGTCCCTCACATATCCCTTGTGCTTCTGCTCTAAATTCGGCTTCAGCACTACTTCTAACTACAACATTTTGCTTCTTGCTTCTCCAAGTCACTAGATTACCCCTACAAAGGTTCAATATCCAGTAGTTGACCTTCTATCATCTATTGAACCTGTCCAGTCTACATCTGTAAATATTTCTATTCCCTTTTCATCATTCTTCTTGAAGAATAATCCTTTTTCGGAGGATCCCTTGAGATATCTGAGTATCTTGTAGACTACTTCTAGATGAGTTTCCATCGGAGAATGCATATGTTGGCTTGTCACACTAACTGTAAATGTAATATCAAGTCTAGTATGTGACAAATATATTAGTTTACCCACGAGTCTTTGATATCTGTCAACATCTACAAAGTTGTCAACATTCTTGACCTTTTTTTCTACATCGATCGGTGTATCACTCAGTTTACATCCAAGCATTTCAGTCTCGATAAGGAGATCAAGTATATATTTTCCTTGTGAGACACTGATACCTCTATGTGACCTTGCTATTTGCATTCCTAAGAAGTACCGCATTTGTCCCAGATCTTTTACTTCAAATTCTGCTGCCAAACTCTTCTTTAGTCTATCCATCTCTATATGTTGTCACCTATCAAGATTATATCATCAACATAAACAATTAAGATTATTTTTGTCCCATCATCAAACTGCTTGAGGAACATAGTGTGATCTGACTGTCCTTGTTGATATACTTGCCTCTTCAGTACCTTTGCAAATCTGTCAAACCATGCCCTAGGTGATTGTTTGAGACCATATAATGACTTCTTGAGTTTAAATGTTTGATTCTTTTCACCTGCTTTGCAAAAACCTGGAGGTAGTGTCATGTAAACCTCTTCTTCCAATTCTCCGCTGAAGAATGCATTCTTAATATCCATTTGTTGAAGGGGCCAATCTAAATTTGTTGCCAATGATAAAAGTACTCGAATAATATTCAATTTTGCCACAGGTGCAAATGTCTCTGTGTAATCAATTCCATATGTTTGTATGTATCCCTTAGCAACCAATCATGCCTTATACCTTTCTATTGTCCCATCAACTTTGTATTTTAGGTTGAAGACCCATTTGCATCCAACTGGTTTTTTTCTTTTAGGCAGTTCTACTATCTCCCAAGTTTTGTTCTTTTCCAATGTTCACATTTCATCCATTACTGCCTCTCTCCACTTTGGAACTTCCAAGGCTTCCTGAATGTTCTTAGGAATTTTGGTGTTGTTAAAATGAGAGATAAAACTGTGAAACTCTATTGATAGAGCATTATAGGACATGAACTTTGAAATGGGATGAAGAGTACATAATCGAGTTTGTTTTCTAAGTGCAATGGAAAGATTAATAACTGAGGATTCTGATACCTTTGTGGTGTCATGGGATTCTGGAGCTACCATCGGTTCTGACTGTTTTGGTACTTCCGGTGTGAAGCTCTCCTTCTGCTTTGCTTTTGGTCTTCTTGAGCAGACAAGCATTGCATTGTCTCTTTGCTTTTCTACATCTCCTTCTAAGTTCAAGCTATCTACTATTAATGGCATAGAAGAACTAGAGGGTATGATTGGGACAGGCTCTAAGGGAAGAAGATCTAAGTTTAGGTACCGATCTTCACTTTGAATTTCCCCCTAAAGAGAGGTTTGGCAAAAATATGGAGTGTTTTCAAAGAACGTGACATCGAGACTCACAAAGACTTTTCCTGTGGAAGGATCGTAACATTTGTATCCTTTCTGAGTAGGAGAGTATCCAATAAAGACACAGTTGATAGCTCAAGGGTCGAGTTTATTTCGGTGATTGTTAGGGATATGGACGAAGGCAGTACAACCAAATACTTTGAGTAAGAATTTTTCGTTGAGTCGAGAATTCGGAAAGGAGTTTTGGAACCGTTTAAGAGGTGAGTCGAGATTTAAGGTACGACTAGGCATCCAATTGATGAGGTAAGTGGCTGTTAAGATAGCGTCCCCCTAGAATCTCTTTGGCATATTTGTAGTAAACATCAACGTTCGAGCAACCTCTAGGAGGTGTCTATTTTTTCGTTCAACAACCCCATTTTGTTGGGGAGTTTAAACACGGGAACTTTGATAAATTATCCCATGTGTTTGAAGAAAATCTCCCAAATTTTTGTTGAAGTATTCTATGCCATTGTCTATGTGCAAAATTTTAACGTGTTTCAAATTGGGTTTGTACCATGGAGTGGAAGTTGATAAATGCAGATTTTTCCTTTAAGAGATATACCCAACAAATTCGGGTGTGGTCGTCAATGAATGTGACAAATCACTTTGTATGAGTTCGATTCGACATTCGTGAGCGACTCCATACATCACTATGAATGATTGTAAATGGTCTCGATGATTTATACGTGGATTTGGGGAACGATGTTCTTTGGTGCTTAGCAAGTTCACAGAATTCACATTGAAAATTGACTAGTCTTTTATTCCGAAAAATAGAAGGAAATACATTTTTCAAATACTGAAAATTAGGATGTCCCATTCTAAAATGCTATAACAAAATTTTACTATTATTAGAGACAGATGCAGAATCACAAATAGCAATTTGATCTTGCTTACTCATATCAACCTCATCAAAGTAGTAGTCCCTCACACTCCTTAGCACTGCCAATCGTCTTCCCCGATATAGGTCCTGAAAAATACAAAAGGAAGAAAATTAGCAGAGAAATTTGATTTCTTTGTCAATTGGCTTATAGATAACAAATTACATGATAAGTTTGGAACATGAAGAACAGATTCCAAGGTAATGGAGTCAGAGATTCGAATACTCCCTTTTTTCGACGACAGTGGAGAGGGATCCATCAGTAATTTTAACTTTGAATTTTTCGGCACAGGTTGAATATGAAGAGAAAAGATGGTAGGAGCCCATCATGTGATCCAATGCTCCTGAGTCGATGATCCAGGGAGTTTTAAAATTAGAGATATCGTTGAAGGCCTTTAAGAAGTTACCTTTATGAGCAAGTGAGCTTGAAGGTTCATTTGAGGAAGATTGGCTCGATGTTTGAAGGTTAGAAAAAATTTTGTAGTGTTGCTCTATCTGTTCAGGGTTGAATGCACTGCGTAAGGTAACATTTTTCGTTTGTTGGTCAATCAAAGCTAGGTATCCTCGACTTCTACTATTTGGCCTTGGTTTCCAATCAACCGATTTTCCATGTAAATCCCAGCAAGTGTCTTCTTTATGCCCCGACTTACGACAATGATCACACCAGTGTCGTCCCTTTTGTTGTTGTGGACACGACTCTTTTAGTCCCCTTTTTAAATATAAGCCCAAATGTTCAGCCGATCCAGTTTTTAAATATTCACTTGGCCCACTATTAAAACATTTAGTCGGTCTACCTTTAGATAGGAGGACCATATTTTCTGGCCCCGTTTCCCCACCTTTTCATTGTTGTAGCCCAAACTTGTGAGGCCCAAATGTCTTTAACATTAAGGCTGACACTCCTTTCTCAGCAGGCCCATTCTTCCTTTTGTTCAACATCATGACTCGACAATTTTCTTCACGGCGAACCTCCGAGAAGACCTCACGCATTGACGGTAACGAGCGTCGGCTAAGAATTCTTCCCCTGACATCGTCCAGCTCACCGTTGAGGCCTGCCAAAAATTCGAAGACACGTTCACTCTCCACCTTTTTCCGGTAACGTGAGCAGTCGGCTAGACAAGCCCATTCTTCCTCTGTGCTCAAATCCAATTCTTGCCATAAAGCCACCATTTCCATGTAGTAATCAATCACTTCCCTGTCTCCTTGCTTGATTTGCCATAGTTTACTTTTGATTCAAAAATTTGTGACGCATTTTTGAAACTGGAATACATTTCTTTTACAGCATCCCACACATCTTTTGCACTTGGTAAGAATAAATACAACTTTCTGATGGAAGAAATCATAAAGTTTACGAGCCAGGCAGTTACCAAGAAATTTTCTGAGTTCCATCTTTGCAAATGGGCTACTTCGGTTGAGGCGGGCTTCTTCACATCCTCGGTCAGGTACCCCAATTTTCCTTTCCCATCGATGATCAACTTGATAGATTGTGCCCATTCTCTGAAATTTTTTTCATTTAACTTTTCGATCGTGAGTTGGAAAGAGGAGGTATCAATTCCCACCTGACTTATGGAGGGAATGGTCTCAGTTTCACCATCGTGGGACTCGGAGGTCATTGACCCTTTACTGGTGTCGATAGTTTCTGCCATTAGGTTAAGCCTCGATCGGCTTTGATACCATGTACGTTGAGAGACTTGAAAAGAGATGAGAAAACTGTCTTTTTTCTCTTATGTTACATTACAGCCGAGTGCCCTTTTTTATAGTATTCAAGAGGGGCTAAAATAAGGAAATAAAAAATATTCTCAAATCCTACCTAGTCTCCAAGAATCATGCCTAATTACAATAATTACAATTTTCCCTAAATACAATAGTTAACTATGGCAACTAAGATATTATCATATTTTTTGGGATTTCAACACATATGGTTTGCATGAAAATGATTGGCTGTCAGGATTATACGAGAACAAAGAGCGTTGGGTTCCCTGTTTCTTGAAAACTATTTTCTGGGTAGGGATGTCAACAATGCAGAGAAGTGAGAGCATGAATACCTTCTTCGATGGGTATGTGCATTCTAAGACTTCATTGAAGCAGTTTGTTGAACAATATAAGCGTGCATTAAGGAATAAGGTTGAGAAGGAGTTTCAAGCCGATTTCAAGTCATTCTCTCAAATGGTACCATGCGAAACACAATTCGAGATGGAGGAACAGTATATGTCGGTTTAAATGATTTCAAAATTCAGGGAAGTTCAACAAGAGTTCATGGGAAATGTATACTGCGATGTCGTATCTACAATAGAAGGAAGTTCTTATACGACCTATGATGTACGGGAGTGTATTACATATGAAGGTGGTCATAGAAGGAAAACATTCGTCGTCTCATTCCAGAGAAATAAATGTGACAGTTTGTAGTTGCCATTTGTTTGAATTTCGGGGAATACTTTGTAGGCTGCTATCACAGTGCTGATTTACAACGATGTCACATACATTTCAGAAGATACATATTGCAGAGATGGAGGAGAGATGTTATCAGAGCACACACGAGGGTTGCTGTAAACTACGCTGGGTTAGTTAGTACTCCCTCACAGTTGAGATATGAAGAGATGTCAAAGGCTTTTGTGAAGGTGGCAAACCTTGCTGCAGACGATGAAACGCGGTCATGAGCGAAAATAGAGTAGATTAAATGTCAACGTGAATAGCTTATAACCACAAAATCGAGTGCTCAAAGTAATTCAAGTCCACAACAAAATCAGCTCGGACCCATTCCCTGTGAGGATGGTTCAGCAACTACGAGCAGAAATGTACTGGACCCAAAATTTGCCCAACGAAAGGGTGTACCAAAAAAAATTTGGAGAAAAAGCCTGCTGGAGACGGCCTCGAATAAAGTGAAGGTAAGTTCTAATGTTTATTTCATATTTACGATAAGGATGAATGTATGTTAACTTCGACGCATATGCAGTCTGGAAGCACAAGTAAGAGATCGAGAAACGGCAATAGCAATATTGTTGACAGCGGAACGAACATTCGACCACCTCACCAATATTCCATGTTGACCCCAACGTCATATTTGCACGACTCCATGCCGACACCACTTTCATTTTCACAACGGTCAATGCTCACACCATTATCTCTTTAACAACATTTATCGACTACAAATTTGATATGTCCGTCTTCAACAATTGCTATGTACAATCCGCAAGGTATATACATGCATTTAGCTATGAATTTAAACTTCACTATCTCGTGGATACAACATTAACTAGTCATACGGTGTTTTATTGTAGGTGAAGTAATGCCATACTACCATCAAAAATTTTTGGATCAAAGCGACAGAGAAGAGTAAGGTGAGGTTTGTGGCATAGACTTGAAATGTTAGACCATAGGTGTTCATATACTTGTGTTTTTATCTGATGTCTCAAAAATTGAATGAAGAGAAGATCATGGGACGTGTTTTTACATGAAGAGAAGATCATGTTTCCTAGTTTGAGCTTTTATCATAGAATCCTAATAGATTTTCTGATGTCCTAGCGTGCTCAACTGGGCGTAGAAGCTTTTGCTGATGCCCTCCTCATGGTTCCAAAGACACTTGCTGAAAACTCTGGCCTGGACACACAAGATGTGATTATTGCGCTTACAGTATGCTATTTATTGCATTCGAGTTCCTATTTTCGTGAAGTATAAAAGGATAAAATTATTATGCCATTGTCTTGTAAAACTTGTTTATTCTTTCCAGGGAGAACACGACAAGGGAAATGTAGTAGGACTTAGCCAACACACCGGAGAACCTATTGACCACAAAACTTGTTTTTTACGTAGTGTGTAGTGGTGTTGCTGTTTAAGCTCTATTTAGATATAGGTGTCGATCTAAGAAGGTTTTTCTCATTATACTTTTACTTGGCAATTCTTTGTTCTCCTAGGCTGTCTTGACCTACTCGTCTCAAGAATATTAAGAAAATTGGTTTTAATTTAGCCCAGCCTTCTATTTGACACAATCCCATTACAGGAGAATTGTTAGATTGCATTATAGGGGATGGCGTTCATATACTTGTGTTTTTATCTCATGTCTTAAAATTGACACAAGTTTATTTTACATGTTCCAACTGGGTTTTGTCCATAATTATATTCCATTTTGCCCATTATTGCATTAGCCCATATGCAATTCAAACTTAACCATTGGAGACATCCCGTCCCCCTCTCCACGTCTACGTCTCTGGTGTATGCTACTGAGTCTACTTTGCCTCCTATGCTATTGCTATGGTGGACCCAAGGATTGAAGGAGGATGTAAAGAGAAGCTTATTGAAATTTAAAGTTGAAATTTCTTAATTTTTTTGATACACCATTCTCGAATTCCAAATGTTTTTTCCCAAATCTAAAACTAGATTTTTAAATTTTAATTTTTTCATATAGTGAACTTTGACTTCTAGAATTGAATAACCATTTCATTTATGCATTTTTCAAATTTACTAATTTCTGGAATTGGAACTTTGATCTGTCTATTTTAGAAGTACTCATTTGATTTTGTCAAATTTCCTTTTTGCAAGGAAATTGGAGCATCTTCAAGAGCATTCATGCATTACCTTTATCAATTTTTTTGTGTTACAATCATACATTTCATTTACTATTAGCCATCCATACTTACTTGATTGGCTACTTAATAGGATTTATGTATTTATAAATAACCAGACCATGAATCCTGAACTCTTGTGGTTATCTCACTCACCCAATTCTCTATTTCATCATAGGTTCATGCCTTTCCTCATCTTATGAGGACAGCTTTGTCCACCTGGGATTGAAGGACCTTTATTTGCACTCTTCATGTCTATAAATAACTTAGGATCAACTGTTCGTTCGTTTTGGTACCTTTGAAAGAAATAGAGCTAATTATTTAGATGGGAGTTTTTGTTATCTTTGCTGTTGTTCGAATCGGTGTAAATGTTGTTTTGCCTATTTTGTTAATTTGTAATGAGAGAATTCCAAATACAGTTGAAGCAATACAACAATGCGTCCGTCAAGATCTTTCATGGTATTTCCAAATTTATTTGCAGGACTATCGAAACCGCCACTAAAACGTATTTCAGGCTCTGTTTTGGTGAACTTCAAAACTAGTTTTTAATTGTGGAATTTGCATAATTAGCAATGCATGCTGGAATTTCAGGTTGAAATTTGCAACACTACCCAAAAACTCTTCTCTCTCAAACGTTCCGGACTCTAATTAAGTGAAGATACGAATTGGTTTTTGATGGCACTAAAGCACACATACGGTTTGATATGAATTGGTTTTTAATTGGTTTTTGTGGATGATACAAGATAGCTTGGTAGCACCTCACTATCCGTTAGACATCTTTGGTTACATCAATATAAGGTCGTTTTGATACATATTTGTCACCTTAAGAACCCATAAAAGTACATAATTCAAACCACAAAATCAAGCTTCAAGATAGGCTACGCTACAACAAGAAAAAACTTCGACGATTTCATTATTTCACAACCACGACACACGTGTAAAAAGATGAACATTAAGGTTTTGCTTCATATTAATCATACGCATACAAACATCTCTCAAATACTACAATCACTGTCTTCTAATCAAGCTGGCCGCTTCCTTTTTTCATTCAATTTCGGGCTTATTTTTGTCGTCCGAATGGTCACGTTCATCGAAATCTGGAGCTATTGTTCGTCACTTATTTGAAGTCGAGATTCAAACATGCGAGACATCTCGTCAACTGTTTCATGCGTCGCAGGGTTAACCAAGATAGTGCCACTGCGACTGGATTGACCGCTTGATTCGTCTTTCATGACCCATTCCCAAAATCCACAATTCTTACTGCAGCAGAGGAATAATTTTCCTTTATTCTTATTAACCTTCTCCACCACAAAACATTTCTCGAATCCATCCTTACATCTTGTACAAGGGCGTTTCTTTTTGCAATCTTCAAAGAAATGATCTTTAGCTCTACAATTATGACAAATTCTAGAGTTCCTCCCAGGCATTCTATGACGGGAATAAACCACCACCGACCAATGTGAACTCAGTTATGTATAGCCTCAATGAAACAAACAAATCAGAATTAGTTGGAATACCGAACCCCAATAAGCTAATGAAAATAAATTTAAAATGGAACATCAAGTCTTAACAACGAGATCGACTTCATGGCTACGCCCTCATTTTAATAAATTGATTGCTAGATCCATTTAAATAAAAACTGTCGCATGGAAACCTCATGCAGATACAATCCCCAGCATTTTGGAAGGGAAATTCATTTTATTTCCTCTAACCAATCAGACTTTTTCACGGATAATTATCAACTGAAACTGAAAGATGGCCATTTGGAGAGGCGATTCCCTGTCAAACTTTGGAAAGTGCAAAATTGGTACAATTTTGAAAATTTTGAAGGCATATGAAAATGCATATGACCCCATTAATGAAATCAATTCTACGACGAGAATAAACCACCACCGAAAAATATGAACTCAGTTATGTATAACCTCAATGAAACACGAAAATCAGAATTAATTGGAATACCGAACCCGAATAAGCTAATGAAAATAAATTTTAGCAAATCAAGTGTAAAAAATCACAACAAAATGGGAGGTCCAGTATTTTGTGGAGGACTGTATATGAAAAATGATTCTCTACATAGAAGCCATAATAGATGAAATATAAAAACATCTATCTGCAAATGGAAATTGATTGATGTTTGTAATGATTTTGCAAGAAAACGGTAGCAAATGCCGACGGGTCTCGTAGAGGGAAAACAATTCCGGCAATGCGTGTGACTTTCGGTCTCCAACAACTAGACAACGGTGAGTTGTGTGGCGACCAGAGTTGAATTTTCAATTAAAAGATTAAAGTTTCAGAGAAGGGGGCCTTTTGAAATAACGTGTGAATCTTGGAAAGAGAAAGCAACTAACAAGCTTCCATTATTGTACTATATTGTGTTGAAAAGAACAATAAAGCTAGTTAGCATGCCACGTCTGAATTTTCAAAATTCTGTATTATACCCTGTTTAGAAGCCTGTCACACTAGCTTTATTGTTTAAAATTGGGGCTACTGGAACTTGTACGATTAGTGAAGCATAACGGATCAACATACCCTGTTCCACAATCAACTCGCTAATCTTGCACTAACATTTAAGATCGATATACTAAGGCAAGATACAACCTTTGAAGTGTATCCTACATGACATCCAGTCTTATTTTCTTCCTTAAATTTTCATACCCTTTTCTAGTGGGCTTTACTGGAACTGCTAATATTGACTTTATTTAGAATCAAATTTACCATGGCAATTAGTTGTGTTCCCTTGTTATAATTAGGTTTCAAATTTCCTTTCAACTACAATTACCACTAGCAAATTGACAAAACTGCAATCAAATGAAATTGCCCAGCTGTATTTAATTCAATTTCTACAAGAATTACAAGAGCCAAAAATGGAAGAGAAGAAGAAAAGAAAAGAAGAGAAAAGTAGATAGAGAGAATCAAAATCAGAATGATCACATTTCACGTGCCCCCTACTCTCCCTCTCTTCTGATATTAATAACTGAATTGGAAAAGAAAACATGAATTGAAAGAAAGCACGTTTTGCTTATTACAGCACAAAAGAAATTAGAGTGTGTTTGATTGACATAGAAAATATCACCTAGAAAAAAAATATTTTCCATCTTTTGTAGAAAATAAAAATCACCTCTATCCAAGGAAAATGTTTTCCTTAAAAACAATAAAAATTAAGCATATTTTCAAAAGTTGGAAAATGTTTTCCATGGAAAAAAAATAGCAATCAAACACTCCAAGTAGAAATTTGGGTGGAAAACTGATATTTTCTATGGAAAACTGATATTTTCCATGGAAAATAAATATAATCAAATACACCCTTAAAATAAAATGACAACGTTTCCTATCAATTGACCTTCGGGTCTCCTTCTTTCTATTTGTGTCTTCCTTCCCGGTTGCTTATCTTCTCCTTCCTTCCCCAAGTTTTATATGGTCATTGATTGCCCTCATGATATCCCTCCCCCTTTGAACAACCTTGTCCTCAGGTTCAAACAATGGAAAAGTCAATTGAATGAACTCTGAAGTTTCCCGGGTTGCGTCTTCCACATTGGTTCCTTCCCATTGTACCAGTCATCGAGTGTGTAACAGCCTAAATTTTTACTTTTGGAATCACTATACATGTACTGTAAAATAATACTTTCATAAACAATGAAAAACATAATATTTTCTAAACATGAAAGGATTAAAATAGATTTTAATACGATAAATATCATTAAAATCTTTAACTGCTTAAATCATTCTTCACTTTCAACTACGCAGGCACAATCCACCTCCGATGACTTCGAACCTGCCTCTTTTAATTACCTATAAAATATTTAACATATATATGTGAAACATAAATCTCAGTAAATGAGTAATAACGAATTTTCCATCTCATATTTAATTACGAAAAATCATAACATATAATTTTTGTACGTAGCGCTACTAAACTCCGATGCTTTGAACTTACACATATAGGAACATTATCATAATCATAACTTGGATTTCCGTATCATCATATTCATAACATAAATTTTCGTAATTTAAATAATGAAAGAACAATTCGTACTATTACACTTACCTTTCACTTGAAAATTTAAAAATGATACAAGAAATTATTGTTGGAGGGAGATCCTTGATCCGCATTTCGGGTTGTGTGATTGTGTAAGTGTATGACTATATTTAATATGAAAAGGATAAGAGAGAGAGTAAAGGTATAAAGACAAAGTGATCGAGATAAAGAGGAAGAGTGTAAATAGTTGGTAAGGAATAGTTCAATATTGAGTTTAACTCCTATTTATAATGCAAGTTCTTGGACAATGTGTAAAAAATTGAAAGGAAATGGCTACATCTTATGCATGGCCAAAGCATAATTGGTGCATTGTCTTGAAAGTTGTCAAATCCATACCTTTAATCATGTGATCAAATCAATTGACTTGGTTTGAGTCTTGGTGTAAATAATGCATGTGGTCGAATAAATCATTTTTAATCATGGATAATTGACATATTTATATATAATTTCATTTAACTTCCAAATTAGCTCTTCACTTAGATCCTCAAATTATTGGCTAATAATCAATAAGGTCATTAGACTTTAATAATAATGCACTTAAGTCCTAATTTTTAATTTAAAATTCGGGATATTACAGAGTGATAGCTTGGTTGTTCCCCTTAATCATGCGTGTGGACAGAACTCGCATTGGTTGTTTTTGATCCTCCGCTCCTTTGTACAGCACTGGTAAGGCATAAACAGGGACTTCTTTCTCCCTCAATTTTTTCTTTAATAACGATACATGGACAGGATGAATTTTTGCATCTGCAGGTAGCTCAAGTTTGTAAGCAACCTTTCCAACCTTCTGTACTACCTGATAAGGCCCATAGTATTTTGCAGCCAGCTTCTTGTTTAACCTCTTAGCCACTGTCTCTTGAGCATATGGGTGTAACCTGAGGTAAACCCAGTCTCCCACACCGGTGTTCTCTGAGATCATATGTTTTTAAGACATGTTCTATGGCCTTCTGTTTTTCTCATCACACCGGTGCGTCTGTTTGCTGTACAGCCAATCAAACTTGAGTTTGAGAAGGTTTACTATCCATATCTATTGATTAGTAAGAAGAGGTATGCTGGTCTTTACTGGACAAACCCAAACAAATTTGAAAATATGAACACCAAAGGTGAGCCAGGCTTTCGACCTTTTCATGGGATTTTCATGTTATCTCTTTTAGTTATTACTAAGGTAAGAACTAGTTTTGATTAAAGTTATTGGCTGCTTATTGCTCTCCTACATTCATTTTCTTGCACTTACATTTCCAGCTTAATAGGGTCTTTCAAAAACTGGAGATGATTATGAAGTTAAAGAAGCACATGTTGAGCTTGCGAAACGGATGCGCAAGGTCTGAAGAGTTCATTTCTTTGATTGTTAATCATGACAAACAGCACATATTCAATGAAATATTACACTTGTTAGCTTGATAAAAGAACTTAAAAATTTATCACGTTCAACTTTGAGAATTGCCTGAAATACACTATAAGAAGCATGAAATTGAAGTTCAACATTCCTTTAACAGATGGCATATAATGTTCTCACTTTTTGAGTTGCCAATTGCAGTTCCATGTACTTGGTAAGAATATCAGAGTTTCATTTTTCCTTTTTTGGGAGGTGACTGAGGTTAGTAAACAAAAAGGGTGTAGAAATATAGAGTTTCTAATATATGTCTTTTCGCAAGCCAAAATGCTTCTTATGTAGGATGTGTTTGAACCCCATTTTTTGTGGGAAAATAGGTTCTGTAATCGTGATTTTTTTTTCTTTTTTCTTTTTGAGAATATGCGGTTAAAAAGAAGGGAGAAGTTTTGGTTTTATGTGTAAAATAATTTTATTGGGAGAATGTGTGATTGAAAATGAGTTTGAGGAAAAATGAATTTTTGGATAATGGGGCTCAAACAGTGGCATAATATACTGAAAAGTGTAACTTGTGCAAAACTGTGGGATCTTTTTCACTTGACTATGGTCCTGATAAAATTTCTCTATGGTCTGTATGCTTCTACTTTTTCTCTCAATTTTGCTGATATGTTCTCTCTGTTGGTGTATCTTCTTACAGCGGATCTACTATTTATGTTAAAAACCAATTGGTGCAGTATCTAAACAGGTTGCTAGAAGAAACATATCCTATTTAACTATTACCATAGACCCACCTTATGAAGCAGGGTTTGTGGTCCAGCTGTTTCTCTTCATGTCTTAGTATGCACTCTGTTCAGTATCATTTTAAGGAGATAATTTTCCTTTCTTCAGTATCTTTGGTCAGGGGTCTTCATATAAGTTAGTAGTAGTCAATAACAAGTCAGTGTTGATTGTTCTATTTAAATATTCCATTGGAATACAGATTGAACTCTCTCATGACTTCAATTTAGGATTCATAGTTAGTGTTTTCATGCTCCGTCCACTGTATTTTTTAATATGAAATTCTATGACAATTTTTTTATTAACGGTGAGATGCTGCTACCGCTCCAAATGTCGGGGATCGAGTACTTTCTGTCATTATTAAAGCTGCGAAAGGTCCCAAGGTAATGTTTTTGTTATTTTACGTGATAACTTTATTGCATTTAATATTTGTTTTCACATTGCTAATTTAACTGATGATAAACAGGCGTATGAAAGATCAGAGGATCCCATATGTGTGTTAGAACACAACATACATATAGACCCTCACTATTACCTCAAAAATCAAATTAGCAAGGTTCGTGAGGTAATTTGTGGTGTTATTTTTGGTTTACTTGTACTCACTGCTTTCTATTAATAATATTGTCATTTGCAGCCACTTCTAAGGATCTTTGAACCCATCCTGAAGAATGCTAGTAAAGAGCTTCTCCAAGGGAGTCACACAAGATCCATATCTATCTCTACTCCTTCAAACAGTTGCATAATGAGATTCGCTAAAAAAATAACTAACTTGCATCGGATGCAAAGCTTTACTCAGGTAGAGAACATTTACTGTTCAACACATAAGCTCTGTATTAGATTCAATATGCTATAGATTCGACGTTTTCTCGTTGCTTGTATGGAGAACAGAAATTTTTGAAAAGGCTTGCATTTAAAAGAAAGTACTATTTATGTTTATTTTTCAACTATTTTTATTTCCTTCATTTTCCCTTAAAAAGGAAAGAAAAGAAAAAATTAAAATAACCCACCAAAATGAACTGCATAAAAAAAGTCACAACAGTAACTCCAGTACTCGAGCCAATAACTCTGATAGTGTATTGACCATTCTTCTGCCTTCAACCAGCAATTCAGATCATACTCTCCGCTCGCACTGCAAAGAAGCTAATGGTATGGTAGAAATTCCTTTACTTTTCAAGTACATTGGCTTATCCTCAAAGAACTTTCAAACTACTTGATAACTATTGAACATGTGGTTTTAATGGTGCTGAGTTGGAGCAGCTCTTCGGGAGGCTATGGACACAATGCCGGGAGTGCCAAGGTTCTCTTCACCAGGATGTGCTGTGCACTAGGTTAGATATGTGATCTATCGACTTGGTTTTGTATATGTGCTTATGGGTTTTATATTGTTTGCTTATTTCACTGTATCGAGGTGTTATAAGAAATGAGGCCCTAATCCAGGTTGTCTACCCTCTATCATATCCTTGCTCCCCTTGTATCTTAAAAGAAAAGGACGGGGCAAGAGTTAAAAACAAGATAGAACAACCCCCCCCCCCCCCCCCCCCCCCCAAAAAAAAAAAAAAAAAAAAA